GTTCGTAAAGTCAAGGGGTATCACATGGGAAACAACAACACCAGGAGCAGCAGCAGCAGCAGTAACAAAAAGCAACAACTAAATTACCGCTAAAATAATACAAAAATCCCAACCAATACAACAATAGGCCGCCGCCATAAAACAAAAATCAAACACACGCCGAGAGAGAGAGTTTCCCGCTAATAGGTCTAGGTTAGGGTTCGAAAGGCATTTCCTTTCACTTTTCATTTTTTTTTTTGTTCTTTTGGCTCTCACTTTCCCCGTTCACTCTCATTTATTAAACTTCCATGGGTTCTCTTCTATGTGTTTAGCCTTAATAGTCATATCTAGCCCCTAAAATATTTAAGGTTATATTTTAGTTAGTCAGTCTGCGGCTTTATATACACATACGCATTATATAAGTTATCTGTGTGTGTGTGTAATTTATGGTTGTTTAGGTGCTAATGCTGCTATTAATTAAATAATTCAAATTATATAAATATTTGTTTTATTAAAAGAATTCTAGGTATTTGGGATTAAGTCAGGAAAGGGGTTTCCACTTTTGAGGACGAAAAGAAAAAACAAACAAGTAAAAATTAACAAGTTCGTCCGGGCCGAACTTTGAATACCCTCCAGCATTTGGAACAAATTTGGCAATTTTCAAAAAAAAAAAAAATAAATAAAATAAATTAAAAATTATGTTAAAATCTTTAAAATACCGAATGTAGCCGTTATATTAGGGTCTACACGACGACCTGGATCTGCATAGACAACTTTTGTCATAGCCATTACAATATTCAAATTCGAAATTTAAAAAAAAAATCGGTGAATAATGTCGCTAAAATCATCAAAATACCGAATATAGGGAGGTACTATTATCTGGGGGCTTTACGAAGACGAGGACCTGCACAGACAATTATCTGTCATAGGCTGTAGTATCCATTACGAACTTCAAATACCAAATTTGAAACAATTCCGGTGAATACTGTCGCTAAAATCATCAAAATACCGAATATCGGGAGGTACTATTATATGGGAGCTATACCAAAACGTCGACCTGCACGGACAATTTTCTGTCTTAGGGTGTAGTATCCATTACGAACTTCAAATACCAATCTTGAAACAATTCCGGCGAATAATGTCGCTAAAATCATCAAAATACCGAATATCAGGAGGTACCGTAATATGGGGGCTGTACGAAGACGTGGAATTGCACAGATAATTTTCTGTCTTAGGCTGAAGTATCCATTACGAATTTCAAATACCAAATTTGAAACAATTCCGATGAATAATGTCGCTAAAATCATTAAAATACCGAATATAGGGAGGTACAGTTATATGGGGCCTATACCAAAATGTGGACCTGCACAGACAATTTTCTGTCATAGGCTGTAGCATCCGTTACGAACTTCAAATACCAAATTTGAAACAATTCCGGTGAATAATGTCGCAAAAATCATTAAAATACCGAATATCGGGAGGTACTATTATATGTGGAGCTATACCAAAACGTGGACCTACATGGCCCATTTTCAATACCAAAAGTCCTGCAGACATAATATACATTTGAGTGAAATTTTATCAACCTGCTTCATTTCGTTCGGAAGCTAGAATGATTTCCACAGACGGAAGAACGTCGCTAAATCGACATAGAATTTTATGCTGATCAAGAACATAGATTCTTTGTTGGGTCTAAGATTATTATTTCGATGAGTTACAAACGGGATGGCGAACTTAATATATCCTCCATACTATATATGGTGGAGGGTATAAAAAAGGCCTCTTAAATGAACAACAACGACAAAAACTTCAGATGGTATATATATATTTACCTTATGTTTAAAACAATCCTTGGAATATAAAAGACCTTTTGACGGATTATCTGCACATTAAAGCTCTTTTGGAATTTCTTCTGTGGCTCCATAAACAATCTTTGTGTATATCAAAGTCTATTTGAAAAATCTTATTCTGCAAATCGTTTTTTGAAGGGTCTTATGTCTATTTAATGATATTCCTTCACTTAAAATATTTTTCTGTCTATAGAATCCTATAAAATTTCTTTTGCATATGGAAGTTCTTTTGATAGGTTTCTGAACATTTAAGGCCTTCTGGGATGTATCCCTAAGGTCCATAAACGATCATAAACGATTAGAGAATTAAAGTCAATTTGAAAAATCTTATTTTGCAAAAGGCTTTTTGATGGGTCTCATTTGAAAGGTTTTCTGGATAATTGAAAAGTCGGCAAAATACTCTAAAGGACCTTTTTAAATTACATTCTGACAATCCAGAGTCCTTTTAAAAGGTCTACTCTCTTAGAGAACCTTTTGAAATGTTTTCTGTCTATGGAATGTCATTTGAAAGTCATTTTAAATTATATTTTTATATCATTAAAGACTTTTTCAAAGGAAATGTGTCTGTGAAATACCCTATGTCTGGGTTTCTTTCTTAAAAAGGCTCTTTATAAAGTATTCTGTTTAAAAGGGGTCTTCTAAATATAAAAGGTTCTTAAAACAATCAAAAGTCCATTGAAAAGCCATTTGCAAAAGGCTCTCTCTACATAAATTATTTAGGTTTAAAAAGGTTTAAAAAATCCACGTTTGTTGGCTTGGATATTCTTGAAAAATATTCTTTAAAAAAATCTGCTTTCATACCTTAAAAATTCTGAAAATATTTCTTAAAGGTCTTTAAAAAATCACAAGCACATGCCGGAACGTTCCCCAAAAATGTCCTGTCGTAATAATAATTCCCAAGAAACAAATACTGAATCTCTTGTAAATCTCCCTTAAAATGGCTCATAATATTTTATGAAACCTTAAGTTTTGAATGTCATTTGAAAGGTCTTCTGCCTTCTTTTTAAGATCTTACAAACTGAAAAGAATTTGTAAAATATCTTCCTGATATGGAACGCCTATTAGAATAGATTTAAAAATAGGTTAACTATGTGGATTTTACCATCCATTGAAGTCCTTTTACAAGTCATATTTTGTGGGAGGTCCTACATAAGGCCTCCTAAAGGACATTGTGTTTAAAAATCTTCTAAGTGTAATATCCCTTTGGAAAAGTATTGTTTCCTCTTTGGCTATTGAGATCCTTTAAAATTTGCTTCTATCCCTAAAAAGACTTCTAAAGATCCTTAATAGGACGGAAAATACTCTATAAGACTTTTCAGAATCACATTTCAAAAATCTAAAGCTTGTTTACCTACAGAAGTGCTTTCAGGGGTCTTACTGCCTAAAAGAGTCTTTAGAAATGGCTTAAGTCAATGGAAGCCCTTTTGAAAGGTTTTTTTTTTTAATACATTACCATGTAAAGACGTTTTAAAAGGACTTGGAACGTGGAAGGCTTTATGAATTGGGTTATTTCTAAAGAGGGCTCTCTAAAAGATATTCTGTTTAAAAATGCCTAACAATGGGTCTTCCAACTATAACATCCCTTTGGAAAAGTATTGCTTCCCCTTTGACCATTGATAACCTTTAAAAAATACTTCTGTCCATAAAATGGCTTCTAAAAATCATATTTCCATTGAAGAAATTTCGGACTTCTTTATAGGCCGGAAAGTAATCTAAAAAAGACCATTTTGAATTACCTTCTGACAATGGAAAGACTGGGAAAGCTTGTCTGGCTACAAAAGTTTATTTAAATGTCTACTGTCTCAAAGAGAGAGAAAGGAGGGTTCAGACCCCTTTTTTAAAATACATTACCAATTAAAGACTATTTAAAAGAACTTTGGAAAGTGGAAGGCTCTATAAATGGGATTCTTTCTAGTGAGGGCTCTGTAAATGTATTTTGTTTAAAAATGTCTAACAAGGGGTCTTCCAAATATAAAGTCCCTTTGGAAAGTTATTGCTTCCTCTTTGACCATTAATAACCTTTAAGAAATGCTTATGTCCATAAAATAACTTCTAAAAATATATTTCCATAAAAGAAATTTCCGAAATATCTAAAAAAATACCATTTTGAATTACCTTATGACAATAGAAAGATTTGGAAAGCTTGTCTGGCTAAAAAAGTTAATTTAAAGGTCTACTGTCTAAAAAGGAGAGGTTGAAAGACTTTTTAAAATACATGACCAATTAAGACCTTTTAAAAGGCTTTGGAAAGTGGAAGGCTTTATGAATGGGGTTCTTTCTAAAGAGGTCTCTGTAAAAGTATTCTGTTTTAAAATACCTAACAAGGGGTTTTCCAACTTCGAATAGAAACGTCTATATGGGCGACTATAAAACCATGTTTAAAGACTTCTAAAAGCTCATTTTACAACCGTTTTAAAACAGCTTTTATAGCCCGACTTTATATGCCTATACGAAACCACATTTATACAGTAACAATACAGTTGCTTACCCATAGGGCCATGGACGGTTCCAAAAACGTCTATACATGACTACTCTTTAAAGCCGTCATTATACAATATAAAGTGGATTTTAAAGTTCATTTATAGGTCTCTAAAAACCGTCTTCATAGGCCCTCAAAAATATGCCGTACTAATATTAAGGAATGAGTTTTAAACAATTCATTTCGCTTTAATATTCACGCAATTCCTTTTTTATATTGACATTTATATTCTTTTTTTACCATTGTTTAAAGTCATCTCAACATGCCTCAAGTAGATTTTTAAGATCTTTACATAACAGCCCATTTTGGGCGCAAATAGACAAAATGAACTCCCTTTCTAAACAGCAATTAAGCCCTCTTTATAGACCTCCAATCCACTAATAAAAACTCTCTAAGGTAAACCTTAGAGGCATCTATAACCTCCAACATTAGAGGCCTTGAAAGCAACTATTAAACCGTATTTATGGGTCTTCTTACTTCACTTATAAAAGTGCCCTAATATCAACCTCTATACGCGTGTAGAAAACTCTTTTATATTCTCATACCCATGCCTTTACAAACCCTCCCATTAGAGGCCTCGAAAAATATGCCTTGATATTAATTCAATTCTATTTTCTATTAAGGCTCCTTTTAACCCAACCGTGGCGACCATTTTTCCCAATGAATTTCAATCAATACAATTTTTTTCAATTACAACAATTTCTTCTATCAAAATATTTGTAAAAATATAATGCTTACAACCTAACCTAACTAAATTACAAAATTTCATTCGTCATCATCATCGTCGTCGTCGTCATCATCTTCACTGCTATCATCTTCCTCAAATTCTGCCTTATCGTTTGATTTTGATCGGATAAGCAGCAAGCCATCATCGTCGTCATCATCATTCCCCTCACCTTCATTCATTTCTTGATCCGAAGAGGCATCCTTTAATTGGGGATTTTTGCTATACTGATTCTTGGCGGTGTTCAGGAGGACACGCATGGTATACTTATTGAAATCACAACTGAAAAAGAAAATAAAAACAATTTAATATCAACTCTGTCTAACAATGTTGTATAGGACTTACATTCTATTCAACGTTTCATATTTACGCGACAGAGATTCATGCAGTGACAACAGTGAGGCATGCTGAAAGACACCGTCTCTATTGCCATGGGTCAACAGTAGACTGCATGACCATTTCAAATAGAATTCAATGTGGGGTGAGGTTTGTAGTTGACGTGCAATGACCTGTAGCAAACGATGGGCCAAGTGATCAGGTAATGTGGAGCAAATTAATTGTACTAAAAGAAACAAAATATATATTTCAAAATATAGATTAATTTAAATAATAATAATAATAACTTACTATCAATGTACGGGATACTCTCCAGAGCCAAATTAATCATATTTGTTTCATTTAATTTCAGGGCCATTATTAAGGCTTTGGAAAAGTCTTTTTCTTTCAGCGACTCCTTAATTGCCTTGGGTGTTACTTCCAATGACAAATCCAAAGGATCAAATACCACTCCTAAACAAAAATCATAAGACCATTTTAATTTAGAGAAAAACATGTTTCGCTATTAAAAATTTCGCTCTTACCCTTATCCAAACTGTAGATACACAGCCCCTCGGTACATGCCGCCGCAAATGACTGACCGGTGGGTGAAAATTTCACCGAAAATACTTTCATTTCAGGTTTGAAATTTCGAGCAGCCATATCACCTTTTTGTACACCCGGCAGACGTATGGCCACATTGCCGCCTTCCAACTCTTCTCGTTGTTCCACCAGTGCCATATTACCAAATTCGGTCATATAACGGCGATTAATGAATTCCTACAACAAGAACATTTTCATCAAAATCTTAAAAAATATAATCAAAAGTATTCTCTACTCACATTGAGACCATCAAAACTTTTATTTTGGGTTATTTCGAATTTCTTCAATAGCATAGCTTCTTTGACATGATAAATGCAAATAACATTGGAGTTTCCGGCGGCCAATATGCACTCACCATCCACGGAATATTCAATGGATGAAAAGTATCTAGAAGAGAAATTAATTAAATAAATATTTTTTTACAAAGGAAGAAGTATTAATCCCCTAAACACCTAAAGAAGGTATTCGACCTTTGGAATAGGTTTTATAAAATAACCACATGAGTTCTTTTATACTTTTTGTAGAAAAAAGTAGACTTCCCTTTCGTCAAAGGCCTTAAACAGGTATTATTTTCGTAGAAGATCGTTGAAGGTTTTCGGCTTATGAAACAATTTTGAAGCTTTTCCTTTCGTAGGAAGGGTTTTTTTAAAGAAGGTATATCTTTTTTTAGACTTTTATAAGGGTTTTTTATAGAGGACATATAAAAGATCTGTCTTATTTCCAAGAAGTCCTGTAAAAGGCTTCTTAACTGGGAAACTTAAAAAAAAAGTCATCTTTATAAATAAGAATAATATAAGTTCTTCTTTTAAGAAGACCTTTAGATGGTCTTACTTCGGAGAAAATCTTACATTCTTCTGGATCTTTTTATGCTCTTCTCTTTATAAAAAAACCTTCAAAAGGGCTTCTTTTATTTTAAGGTCTTTAGGAGCTCTGGTTTTTATAGAAATAATCTACAATGTCTTTTTATCCAAGAAGACCTTCTCCTTTTTATAGAAGACTTTCAGGCGTTCTTGTGAAAGAACTTCTTAAAGACGATCTTTAAAATTTCGGTTCATCATTTTCTTCTTGCTTTCTTTCCAACTTACTTTCCCTTTTTATTTTGTTTTGCAGTAATGACATCAGTTTCCAAACGACCACTGTTCAAATCATTAATACCCTCAATGGTACTAATTTGAGTTGCTGTTTTGACATCAAATACACAAATGTTGCCATTCAGTGTGGCCACTGCAACCTATAGAAAGGGACAAAAATATTTCCATAAGATTTCGTTTTAAATACCAAAATATACTTACATTTTCCCCATTGGGACTAAAGGCCACCGAAGTGACATCCGAGAGAACATCAATAGTTTCATGTTCCGATTTGGATTCCAAACAATTCCATACTTTTATTGTTTTATCCCAGGAACCAGAGACCAAAGTCGATGAAGTTGGTACTGGCGAAAAGGCAATGCAGCAGACGGGACCCTCGTGGCCACTTATCACTTCCAGCAGAGTACCCATTTTAATGGACCACAAATAGATTTCAAAAACATCTTGGCCACCGGCGGCAACCAATTCATCCGAATAATCCACTGCCACCGAGGAAAATTGCACAACTCGAGGTGAGGTGAAGGTACGGAAATTGCGATATCTGTAAAAAATATTGATTACTACTCTAATTAAAAAAAATATTTTATCACTCTCACCTATTGATATCAAAAGCCCTCACGGTACCATCCAAAGAACTACTGACCAAAAACTTTTTGCTTCTACTGAATTGTAAATCCGTCACACCACTGCTGTGTTCACTAAAGGTCACAAAACAAAAACCACTTTGTGTGTTCCACAACTTAACTTTAGAATCTTCCCCACCCGTGGCAATATATTGGCCATCCGGTGAATAACTGATACATGTCATTTCACTGCTATGACCCTGTTGCTTCATAATATACTGTTCCGATTGCCATTCCCAAACCAGTAACTGGCCCAGCTCTCTGGAAGCCAATGCCACCCAATCTCCAGTGTTGTTAAACAATGCCGCCGATATAGCATAATCCGATATACTCAACGAATGTATCATATTAACTTCAGGCAATTCATAAAGGTAAAATGCTCCCGTGCTAAAACCAACCACCATAATTTTGGTTTTACGATTATAATGGGCTGCCGTAAGTACTGCATCATACTTTTCTTTACGTGGATCATCGGCCAAATAGTAACGTCCCAGCTTTTTGTAATAAAAAGGATGTCCCCTTTTAATGTCTTCATCTTCCACTTCATTGTCGTCGACAACTTTCCCAGCCTGCAACAGCTCCTCGGCCGTGGGATTACGTTTCTCCAATGTATTCTCTACATCATCTTCTTCCTCTTCCGAGTCATCGGCCACCTTTTTAGCGGCCTTCAAACGTTTTTTTGTCATATAAGACAAGTACTGCTGTCTCTCATGTTCCTCCACTCGTTCAATTGAAGACATATCTCGGCTACATTCCCACAAACACAACTGACCATTCCGTGACAAAGTATTTGCATCTAAGCTATTATTTTCAAAGAAACAGGCCACTATGGAATCTGTGTGGCCACCCAATACAAATGTACGAAAATGTTTCATAAAATATATGGATATAACTTTGGTGGAATTATCACGGCAACCGACAATTAAAAATCTCGAATCGGTGGACCAATCCAAATAGGTAACATCATCGAATCCACCGAGAAAATGTCTCTCCAATACAAATGGATTATATTCTCCAGTCAATTCTCCGGGAGCTTTGAAAATAAATACTAAATTTTGCATGGCCACAGCAAAATGGGCACCACTGGGACTGAATACCACACAGCGGACATCATGTTGGAACTTATGGGTATGTATAACCGTACAGGATACCATGCTTATCAATTGGGCCTCATGATTTTCATTGACGGCCAGTAGAAGACTGCCATCCGGTGACAAAGCCAAACTTCTGTAATTATAGTTCGATGCCAGGGACAGAGTGCGGGCTTTGTTGCTAAACAAGAACAACAACAAGAAAAACGTGGTTAGTTTTCATTACCCCACTACGATCGAATTTACTTACTTTTTCAGATCATATAGCGTTAAACGATTGCCCACCGGGGTAATAATGGAATTTCCATCAGGAGTGAACAGGACATTGCCTCTTCTGTATATGGTGCCTAGTAAATTGGAAAACTGAGAAAAAAATGTTGATATTATTGATGTTGTTTGACTCAAAGTTCTTCACGTTTGTTTCTGATTTTCCATTATTAATTAACATAATTTTTTTGGATAATGGGATGGAATGGCTCGTCTTAGCCACTTTTTTGGATTTACCTTGTATGAGAACTTCATATTTTTTAAGAATTTAATTCAAAATCAGGAGCAATTAAAAAAATCAACCAGCTTCGTAGATGTAAACAAACGGCAATGTTCATACACGTGCAAGTTTTAGGGATATACAGATCGACTTGCGACGAATAAGGGATCAGCTGTCTTAGCAAATAATAATGCATGTTGGCTACACGCCAAACTATATGTGTTTAAGGTAGAATAATTTATAATAAAAAACCCATATGAAATCAAATGTGATATAATCGATGAAACCGTAAAAAGTCAAATAATTGGAAAAGTACTAGATCCTTACACTTCTGGCACCAGAAAGCTTTTGCCAGACTAAAGGGTGAAATGGATTAAAGCTTAAATTCTGATTTCACGCCAAAGTCACAATTTAAACTTTGTTCTGTTTTGATCTTAAAGTCTTTGAAGTATGAACTCTAAACGAGTTGAGTTAAATGTCATAGCAAATAAAATACACCACCAGTTGTTTTTAAAACAGTAGGCTTTGTTGACTATAGAATTCTTTTTGTAGTCATTTCAAATAAGCGAAGCAAGAAAATGAAGCTAAACGCTGACTGTGTTTTGGCTTTACCCGTCGAAAGTTATGCTACTTGCCTTTATTCGGCTGATGTAGTAAAAGGAAAAGCAGTTTATTTATTTATTTTTTTTGTTACATGACTCTGGGGCAAGATTTTTGTTCTACGAAAATATGGAAATAGTAAACTTTTCCTGTATATATTTTGTCATTTGACGTTTCTTTTTGTTATAAATGTTTTTATTTCACATTTTCATAAGACAAGTGTAGATCTCTAGGATCATAGATTATATAAAAGTTCTTTTGAAATGTATCTATGTTCCGTAAAGATTCAGGCTTTAAAATCAGAATGGGTGCGTGGCTGGTAATGATCTGATAAAGACCAATATTTACATACTATTATTAAAAGGCTAATAATTTGCATATTAAGTAACCACATTTTCCAAAAAAGTCCATATTTTCCACATTTGAATATTTCTGTCACTCGTCGTACGTAATATCAAAGGGTGCACATGGATTTATGGTATTTTAACATGGTAAAGGAATATAGATAGACGCATCGTCACAGCTGCTGGGACAATGAACTGTCAAACCAATTTTGGAATTGAAAATGTTGAATGAAATCTTATTTAAATTTCTAAATACGCGAATTATAATAACCTCCGAATGACGTCGTACAAGAAAACATTTAAAAATCTACTTATATTTGAAAAAACATTTAAATTTTTTTGACATATCAATGCTCCCAGGCGATGATGCATCTACCTGTATTCTTCTGCCATGTTATTTTGACTTCATTGATACAAAGCCTGTTCACACGGATTCGCGCTCCCACCTACATTATTTAATTTTTTAATGTAAAATGAAACTGTTTTCACCTCAAATAATCTGAATAATTAAAAAATTCGAATATACATTGTTTACAAAATTATTAAATATGTAATAACTTATTTTTACATTATTTATATCTAAGCCGTTCCATGGAACGAAATGGCATGAAACATAGATTTATATGGGGTGCAACTCGACCATGGTATCCCTAATGAGTATTCCTCAAATAAATATTTAAATAATAATAGCAGAATTTTGCATAACAACAGTTTGTAAATTCTGCGAAGAAAATTGATAATTATATTAAAAATAAAAATACCATCTTAAGCGTTCAAAAGGCGACTACATCTTTTTTAGACCGGTAACCAAACAAATTGAATAGCGGTCCATACGATAAATATGAGTCAGGGTTCTGAAAATCGATATGGCACACCAACTTAACGGCGTTAACTCGACCCAAGCATCTGCGGACAACTGACATCATATTGTCGCCGTCTTCAAAACAAAAACAGACTTGATTGTTCATATCACGGAAAAAGAAAAGCATAGTAACGAATTGGTCGTCGCGGTGAATGTACGAATGTACGGTAAAAAAACAACAACAAAAACGTTCAACGATTGTTTGTTGCGGGTACGGGAGTAATATTGTTCTCTCGCTCTAACCCATTGAATTGAATGTAAGCAAAAAAAAAGAATTGTGTGCAAAAGTTAGCTTTAACAATAAAGAAGATGATAATGAAGAAGAAGAAGCTGAAGAACAAGAATTGGAGAATGTTATAAAATGAGAAAAAATTCAAGTTTTAAACATGAAGCGAATAATTGTTAACCTGGAAAAGCCTGTGAAAATAAAAGTTTATTTATTTTTGATTTGTGTCAAGTGCTGGTTAGGTTTTGTAAATGAAAAGTGACGTCATTATTATTAAGTCTGGCAAAAAAGCGATGTCGTCTGTGTGACCGACCATATGAGAAGAAGAAAAAAACAACAAACACACAAATACAAATCAAACATTCGTCATCGCTAACAAACCACCTAATGTCAAAAAGGGGGTGGTGGGTGGTATTTTTATGACCAAGCTTAAAGAAGAAAAAATACATGGCTGTCTTAAAAAAGGAGAAAAAATAAAAAAACAAAACGACTGCTAAGAAAGAAATAGAAAGTCATTCTAAACGAAAATTTACCCTGGTATTTATTTTGAGCGAGTTGTGTGTGTGACAAGCATAATAATTATTTGACATAATTCTTTTCCAAGTGCTTGAGTGTTAAAAAAAATTAATAAAAAAACTCGAATAAAAATTGATTTTAATTTTATTTTCTTTTATTTTTGTTGAACAAAATTAATATCCCTACAAATCAAAGTAAGAAAAAATAAGAAATAATAAAAATCCCTACTACTACTACTACTCAAGGTTGTCATCGGTTTATTCTCGTAGTATTTTCCTTCGTTGCTTTTGTTGTTGTCAGTTTACACAAAAAAAATCAAGAACTTTTTATTTTGAATACACATGGTGCTTCTTTGACACCACACACACACAGCCAGATAGCAAAGCAGCGCAATAACAACACCATTATTACCAAGGGAGCAGATAATTTGTTGTTGTGAGAGACGAAAGAGCATGAGTGGAGAGTGGTTGTTTACCCCCAGTGCGCCTTGCAAATGCAGCATTTTGCATTTGAAAACAAAGAAATGAAAACTAATAAAAACAACAACAACAAACACATATCTATCAAAAACAAAATTGGCACTTTGATGACAAGGTTGTGCTTACAAAAATAACAAGAAAAATATATTGTTTTCGTTGTTGTTATTAAGATATTGCCAATGTTATTTTAATATTGCCAATGACGAATGTTCCCCAAATTGCCCTTTAAGGAAGGTAATTTCAATGATGTGGGAAATGTAATGGCAAAAGTGGAGTGGGGAGAAGTGAGAGCCATAGTGATAATGTGTTTGATGTCAAATGTCAGAGAATATTTGCTTTAAATTGCCATGTAAATGTAACGAAAGTGATTTGTGATATGTTTAAGTTGTAAAGGTAACTGGCCACACACTGAATTGTGAAGACATGAGGTGTTCTTAAAACAATTTATGACCTCTTTCATTGCATGGCCAAACATTGATATGGAAATATTACAACGTGACATATTTGAAATATATCGACTACTTCTTGTAATTTATATGAGATATGTGCCAATTTTGGAAAAATATGGAATATGCCTAAGATATTCCATTTTCATTCTTCATTTAATACAGATATAAATAGTGGTATGTGCAAAATTTGAAGGAAATCGAACATTTATATCCAATTTTATGCGACATCATAAATTCCGATCAATTACATATTCATATCAGATTTCTGGTTAAGAGAAATATTTAGATATAGCAAGTTGTAAAAATCGCCGAATTTCGCGTTTTAGGAGCTCCATGAATAATCAAAATGTTGACCCTTTGTTGGGGAGGTACCAGAAAGACAGGACCGATATATCCCATCTTCACAACAGATCTTGTGTTAGTAGAAATAATGGAATGTGTGGAATATAAAGAGAACCTGATGCTTATTTCGTATTTTATAAAGGTTTAGGTTATTCAAAGCTTTTGACCCTTTGTGGGGGAAGTACCAGAAGGAATGGTCTGATCTCTACCGCCTTTATAACAGATCCTGTGTCGATGGAAATATTGAGATGTTCCAAGTCTAAATGGAATCGAATGTTTATTTCTCGTTTTATGAGCGTAATGAATATCCAAAATTTCGACCGTTTGTGGGGGAGGTACCAGAAGGAGTGGACCGATATATCTCATCTTTACACCAGACCTCGGGTTAATAAAAATATTGTGGTGTGTGTAATTTGAATACAATCGGACACTTACATCACATTTTATAAGAGTTGTAATTATTCAAAATTTTAACCTTTTGTGGGGGAGGTACTTGATAGAGTGGACCGATATTTTCCATTTTTGCACCTGACCTAGCACTGAGGCAAATATTAGGATTTGCAAAGTTGGAGCGAAATCGGATTATCCTTTCTCTTTCTGTGCAGTAAAATATTTTTTTTTTAATCTTGACATTTTGTGGGGGTGGTACCAGAAGGAGTGGACCGATATTATCCATCTCCGAACTCGATCTAAGTTTGACAATAATATTACGATGTACCAAGTTTGGATCAAATCGGTTACTCCCTTCGAGAGCTAAAAGGATAAATTTAAGGTAATTTCTAAAATGAGTTTTTTTATTTGCAAAGGTAACTGGCCACACATCAAATTTCAAATCAAATCAAACGATTGATACCTATTTGTGTCTGAAAAGTTTAGATGTCATAGTAATATTTTGTGTGATAAAAAAGTTCGGCCACCCCATCCAAAATATGTGTCGAATTCTCTTCATTGTAAAAATATTCAAATTTTCAAGTCCAAAAAATATCTCATTTAAAATTACGTTAATGATTTTTTCGTATCTATGTACATACCTACTTCCTTCCTTCTATCCACCAAACGAAGCATAACGGCCAAATGACGTTACATTTTGCCATTCAAATTAACAAACATGCACTGAATATTAAACACAGAGCTCGGGCGTTATACAAAAACAAACATTTTATCAGGTACGATGGGGGGTGTTACCTACCTACGTAGTATGAAAGTATTTGCTATTGAAAATTAAACAAAAATATTTACAAAAAATGCAAGTAAAAAAGCTGTAACGTCGCTAAAATCATCCAAATACCGAATATCGGAAGGTACCGTTATATGAGGGCTATAAGAAGACGTTGACCTGCACGGAAAATTTTCTGTCATAGGCTGTAGTATCTATTACGAACTTCAAATACCAAATTTGAAACATTTCCAGTGAATAATGTAGCTAAAATCATCAATTTACCGAATATCGAGAGGTGCCGTTATATGGGGGCTATACCAAAACGTGGACGTATACATACAATGTTTCGCCACCGGACCTAGAATCCATTATGACCTACAAATACCAATTTTTAAACAAATCCGTGAAAAAATATGGCAGAAATCACCAAAATACCGAATATTGGGGGGCATCGTTATATGGCGGCTATTCCAAAACGAGGACCCTATATATCTCATTTTAAATTCCAACCATCCTATATACAATACAAATTGTTCTACCAAATGTTTAATCTCTACGTCAAATAATGTGGGCTGTATCGTGATTTCAATAGACAGATGGACGGACATCGTTAAATCGACTTAGAATTTTATGCTAATCGTGAATATATATATACTCTATGGGGTCTGCGACGAATGTAAAGGGATGTTACAAACGGAACATACCATCCTTTTCAAGGTAGAGGGTATAAAAATGAGTTAGAAAATCCCACTCATGGTACTATCAAAAAGGTAGAGTCATGCAAACATATGTTTACAATTTTTTCAAAATTATTCGTTTTAAAACATCTCATTGTCAAGATATATATTTATAAATGCATTGTAAATACACACAACAGAGATGGAAAAGTTGTTTTTATGCAGTGAAATTTGGCAGAAAATGAAAAATTTTACCATGATCTCAATGGTTAATGTTGTTTCTTCGGGACTCTCTCACAACATAATCTAATTTTCCCAAAACAAAAATCAAGTCAATATTCAATAAAAATATTTGCCACTGTGAAAGCGTAATGTGTTTTCTATTAATTGATAATAACTCATATCCACCTCTGGCTTGAGATTGAAAGGATCAAACAGAAGCAATTTGTTTATGTTTTGTTTGGGGACAGGCGTAAGTAATCATACATTTGAGAGCGTATTAGTTCCCACAACGGAAACGGTACTATCTCTCTACGAAAACAATTCTCTCACAACGGAAATAAAACCTCTCACCAAACAGTGGAGACAGGTGAGAAAATTAATACTTCAAAAAGGGGAAGACATAACCGTTTTGTTTATGTTTTGATTATGTATTGGCTCCCTCTCATTCTCTCTTTGCCGCTACTTACCAATACTGTGGGAGAAACATTTTTATTCTCACCAATTGATAGAATGGAGTCACAAAGCCCAAAAATTAGTGATAACAGTTTTGTTTTGATTATCTCTCTCGATATTTCCTATGTAGGTATACAGGGATGGGATGAGATGGGATTACCCTCACAAATCTCTGTGGATTTATTTTATTGTGTTTAGATAAGCCGTGGTGTTATCTCTTCTATCTTTTAAAGTAATCTTACCGGTGGCGATGTTGTTTACAAGACAACAGAACACATGTTCAAGATTAGGTGCAGAGCAGCAGCAGCAACAACAACAACCACGACAAAGCAATGAGGCACGAGTAATTACAACATCAAACAAAACCAGTCAGGCGACAGACAATGTAGCAAGTACATGTTTCAAATGATGGGGGTATTTTGTTGAATGTTGAGTGATGTGACCAAAAAAACAAACAATTTTACAAACACATGTACTTTTTTGTTGTTGAATGACGGTACCCTACCTGCCATGCCATGCCATCTGTCAGGGAGAGAGACATAGTCAAGAGATTGCAAACTCAAGGTGAGATTATTTTGGCTAGATGTTGTTGTGGCTTTTTTGTTATGGGTGCTAATCATGCTCAGAATCAAAAAATGAAGATATTAATAGATAGATAAATAAATAAATAATAAAATAAATATATGAATTAATATTTTAATAAATTTATAGCAAAAAATATAGAAAACAAGTTAAAAAGTTTCTGTCCGTTTTGTCGACGGATGTATATCCTCAGCCAATATTCTATTATTTAAAAAAATATATTTTGACTTTTGTTATGATTATTAAAATTGTTAATCCTCTATGGAGTAGGTTCCGAAGGAATGAGCCAATATTGTCCATTTCGTATCGGACCCAAATAATGGTGAAATAAATATTGCGACGTGCTAGGTTTGGACTATATGGGCTACTTCCTTCACTTTATATGTGATGATATGTGATGATTTTTAGAAAATGTTAAAATTTGCATGAGGTACCACATAAAGTCGACCGAAGTATTCCATTTTCATATTTCATCTAATACAGAAAAAAATATTGGTATAGCCGAAATTACAAGAAAATCGAAAATTTATATCCAATTTTATGCGAAATCATAAATTCCGAATTAATCTCAGGTTTCTGGTTGAGAGAGAGAGATATTTAGATATAAAAAGTTGTAAACAATCGCTGACTTGTCTCGCAAGATATGATAGATAAATTAATTGAGAATTGTCACCCTTTGTGGGGGAGGTACCAGAAGGAATGATCCGATCTCTACCACCTTCACAGCAGACCTTGTGTTAGTAGAAATAATGGGGTGTGTGAAATATGAAGGGAACCGGATGCTCATTTCGAATTTTATGGTCGTTTTGGTCGTTCAAATTTTTGGACCCTTTGTGGGGGAGGAACCAGAAGGAATGGTCCAATCTCTACCATTTTCACAGCAGATCTTGTGTTGATAGAAATTTTGAGATGTGCCAAGTCTGAAATGAATCGGTTGTTAATATCGCGTTTTATGAGCTTCATGGTGATTCAAAATTTTGACTCTTTGTGGGGGAGGTAGCAGAAGGAATGGTCCGATCTCTACCATCTTCACATCAGATCTTATGTTGGTATAAATAATGGGATGTGTGAAATATGAAGGGAAACGGATGCTTATTTCGGATTTTATAATCGTATTGATTATTCAAAATTTTGACCCTTTGTGGGGGCGGTATCAGAAAGAATGGTCCCAATTCTGCCATATTTACAACAGGTTTTGTGTTGATGAAAATATTGAGATATGCCAGGTCTGAATGGAATCGGATATTAATTTCGAGTCTTATGAGCTTCATGGATATTCAAAACTTTGACCCGTTGTGGGGGAGGTACCAGAAGGAATGGTCCGATCTCTACCATCTTCACATCAGATCTTATGTTGGTATAAATAATGGGATGTGTTAAATATTAAGGGAAACGGATGCTTATTTCGTATTTTATAATCGCTTTGGTTATTCAAAATTTTTAACCCTTTGTGGGGGAGGTACCAGAAGGAATGGTCCGAACTCTGCCATACTTACAACAGATATTGTGTTGATAAAAATATTGAGATGTACCAAGTCTGAAGGGAATTGGATGTTAATTCCGAGTTTTATGAGCTTCATGGATATTCAAAATTTTGACCCTTTGTGGGGGAGGAAGCAGAAGGAGTGGACCGATATATTCCATGTTCACACCTGACCTTTGGTTAATAAAAATATTGTGATGTGTGAAATTTGAAGACAATCGGGCTCTTAGATCCCATTTTATAAGAGTAATAATTTTTCAAAATTTTGACCCTCTATGTGGGAGGTACTTGCTGGTGTGCACCGATATTGTCCATTTTCGCACCTAACTTAGCACGGATGCAAACATTAGAATTTGCAAAAGTTGGAGCAAAATCGGATAATCCAGTCTCTTGCTGTGCAGTAAAATATATTTCTGAAAATTTCGACCTTTTGTGGGGGAGGTCTAAATTTCATAAAAAGTTGCCAAAATTTTTTGTTTAAAAGCAAATTTTTTTGTTGTTGTCATTTCTTTGCCATTTGCGTACATGTGTGTGTGTCTTCCGACTCTTGTCTAGCGTTCATGTCTCCTACTGCAGATATTTGATAGCCCCCAGAGATGCTGTTTGTTGATGACTGATGCCAGCCTGCTGGCATGTGTTTATTGCCCGGCTCCAGACTCAGATGTCGACAAACTGGAATCATTATTGTACCTATGTATAGGTGTGTGTGCATGTTTGTAATTATGTTGTTGTACCAAACCAACCAACCAACGAGAACATATGAATTCTGGTGAGGTTATCGCTGCTGTTGTTTTTTTGGCAAAAAAAAAAACAGAAATAAATAAATGGATTTTGGAAAGGTATAATAAGGTGGGTAAAGACCTACAGAGATGGACCTACTGGGGGTAAAAAATCAAGAAATTTAGTTATTAACTTTTTATGGATCTTGGCTCCTTAACAACTATCATGGCCCGAAAAGGGCAGGGAATAGCAAGATCGACATATGGGTCCGAGATAATCTTTAACTTTACTTCAAATATTCAAATTTTTTTCTTATAATCCTCCCCATAAATTCCCGAACCCAACCTCGTTTTTTGGCTTACCGGTTTTTTCGGTAATAGCTCTCAAAATTTGCAGGCCATCCAAAAGTTTTTTTTCGGGTTTATTTTTGTATTTCTAGTTATTGTAGATGCTTTGATGAGGACTATGTTGTTGTTGCTGCTGCTGTTTTACAGCTCCTTCTGACAGAGTGTGACAGAAAAGTGGGCACAGGTTAACAAAACCTGTCTGATGCTGTTGATGCGGCGACTGCTGCAAGTAAATGAAGACAGGTGGGCTTGAGACGACAACAATTATTATTATTTTCTTGTCAGAGCCACAGGGATTTAACAAAAACATCATCAGCACCAACAACAACAACTAGAACCCACAAAGAGATTATTCCTCAAACATGTGTGTCTCCTGTGGCACAGGATGTCTGAAAATTGCTTTGGAAAAAAAGGTTTTCGTTGACAGGTACTTTTTGTACGGTTTGATAACAAACACGTACCACAACATAATTGTTTGGCACTGCATGTCATTGTTGGTGTTGTTGCTTTTTGCGAAAAAACAATTTTCAAGGTGACTACCGAAAGTGATGGTGGGTTTCAAGGCAACTCCCTTTTTGAGATGATTTCGTTAAGAGATAGCTTTCCGGAGAATTGTATGGATGATAAATAATCGAAAACTAAATTTTAACTAAATTATTGGTCGATAACAATTTTTTCTATAGAAAAGTGGGTCGATAACAAAATTTTCATTAGAAAAAATGGAGCAATAACAAACTTTCCTGAAAAAGAGAGGGCCGATAACTAACATTTTCGTTTTAATAGTTGTCCCATAACAACATTTTCTGTGGAAAAATTGTCCGATAACAAAATTTCCTGAAGAAGAGAGGATAGATAACAATTTTTTAGTTAATATTTGTCCGATAACAACGTTTTCTATAAAAAAGTTAATCGATAACATCATTTTCCATAGAAAAGTTGATCGATAATAACATTTTCCATAGAAAATTTGATCGATAACAACATTTTCTATGGAAAAGTTGTTCGATAACAACATTTTCTATAGAAAAGTTGTTCGATAACAACATTTTCTATAGAAAAGTTGTTCGATAACAACATTTTCTATAAAAAAGTTGTTCGATAACAACATTTCATATAGAAAAGTTGTTCGATAACAACATTTCATATAGAAAAATTGTTCGATAACAACTTTTTTAATAGAAAAGTTGAACGATAACAACTTTTTTAATAGAAAAGTTGAACGATAACAACATTTTCTATAGAAAAGATGTTCGATAACAAAATTTTCTATAGAAAAATTGTTCGATAACAACATTTTCTATAGAAAAGTTGTTCGATAACAACATTTTCTATAGAAAAGTTGTTCGATAACAACATTTTCTATAGCAAAGTTGTTCGATAACAACATTTTCTACAGCAAACTTGTTCGATAACTACCTTTTCTACAGAAACGTTGTTCGATAACTACCTTTTCTACAGAAAAGTTGTTCGATAACTACCTTTTCTACAGAAAAGTTGTTCGATAACTACCTTTTCTACAGAAAAATTGTTCGATAACTACCTTTTCTACAGAAAAATTGTTCGATAACTACCTTTTCTATAGAAAAGTTGTTATATAACAACATTTTCTATAGAAAAGTTGCTGGATAACAACATTTTCGATAGAAAATTTGTTCGATAACAACATTTTCTAAAGAAAATTTGTTCGATAACAACATTTTCTAAAGAAAAGTTGTTCGATAACAACATTTTCAATAGTAAAGTTAATCGATAACAACATTTTCTATAGTAAAGATGTTCGATAACAACATTTTCTATAGAAAAGATGTTCGATAACAACATTTTCTATAGAAAAGATGTTCGATAACAACATTTTCTATAGAAAAGATGTTCGATAACAACATTTTCTATAGAAAAGATGTTCGATAACAACATTTTCTATAGAAAATATGTTCGATAACAACATTTTCTATAGCGAAGTTGTTCGATAACAAACGTTTTCTATAGAAAATTTGTTCGATAACACCATTTTCTAAAGAAAAGTTGATCGATAACAACATTTTCCATAGAAAAGATGTTCGATAACAACATTTTCTATAGAAAAGATGTTCGATAACAACATTTTCTATAGAAGAGATGTTCGATAACAACATATTCCATAGAAAATTTGTTCGATAACAGCATTTTCTATAGAAAAGTTGATCGATAACAGCATTTTCTATAGAAAAGTTGATCGATAACAACATTTTCTATAGAAAAGGTGATCGATAACAACATTTTCTATAGAAAAGGTGACCGATAACAAAATTTTCTATAGAAAAGATGTTCGATAACAATATTTTCTGTAAAATAGTTAATCGATAACAATGTTTATACAGGAAATATGGTCGATAACAACATTTTCCATGGAGAACAGTAATAAATATGAATAATAAAATGTTATCGATCAACATTCCTTAAAGAACAATTGGCTATCGAACAGTAAAGCAATTTTTTGCTTCTTCCCTTATTACAAGCTACCCTCTTCAACCACTCTCTGGCCTTGTTTTTGAACCTTGGCTGGTTATCGCTAAACGAAAATACAAAGAAACCACAAAAAAAAAACGTAATTTATACAACAACAATAATTTAAATAAACAACGATAACAATAAACAAATAATTAAAACAAGCATTTAAATGAAAATATTTCTTTTTGTTTTTTTTGTTTTATTTGCAGAAAGTTTAACGGGAGATAAAGGTGCTGCTGAAAGAAGCCAACAGAATGGTTGATTTTTAAAAGAAAAGAAAAATAAAAAGAAATATTCTAGAAAGAAAGAAATGAAAATGAAGTGAAAGATATAATAAAAAAAATTAAAAAAATATATAACCATAAAAAGCGCACAAATGTCTTTAAAAAATAGAAAGGAAGAAAAATAAATCAAAGCAAAAGAAATAGAAAAAAATATTTAAAAATGTTCAAATATTTGAAACCCCATTGAAGTGAAGTTCTAAAAGAAAACAGTGTTCCAAAAGAAAGGAATTTGATACAGAAAAACGCAATTCGGGAAAAGTGAAAAACCCCAATTCCATTTCTCCCAGCCCCGTTCTCAAGCCGGAAATTAACTTCAAATTTGAAAGCTGCTTTGGAATAACCTCTGCTCTCCACAACCCAACACTCGACAAAAACAACACCGTAGCACAGCAAATCTTCTTTGACAGCCGCCATCATGCCCGCCATGGGTAGTGTATGGAAGCGTTTGCAGCGTGTTAATAAACGCGCTGCCAAATTTCAATTTACCGCTTCGTATCACGAACTCCACCTCGAAACAACGGCCAAATGGTGAGTATTTCCTTCTTTAGTTTTTTCGATTTTTTGCTAAGTTTTTTTCGGGGGGTATTTGTTTGTTGTGAATGACTTCACAGACAACCTTTCTGTTCGTTTCGATTTTAGCAGCATGTCTGGTATAATTAAAAAATATTATTGTTGTTGCTGTTGTCTTCGTTAAAGTTAATTACTATAAAGCTAATTGTTTAAACGTGAATTTTAAGTGTCAGATGAATAATCGGGACGGGTGGTCACAGTCATGGGAAGAAAACACAATGTTATCGAACACATTTTCTTCAGAAAATGTTGTTATCGAATAACTTTTCTGCAGAAAATGTTGTTATCGATTAACTTTCCTGTAGAAAATGTTGTTATCGGACACATTTTCTATAGAAAATGTTGTTATCGGACACATTTTCTATAGAAAATGTTGTTATCGGACACATTTTCTATAGAAAATGTTGTTATCGGACACATTTTCTATAGAAAATGTTGTTATCGGACACATTTTATATAGAAAATGTTGTTATCGAACCTCTTTTTCATTGAAAATGTTGTTATCGAAAAACATTTCTATAGAAAATGCTGTTATCGAACAACTTTCCTATAGAAAATGTTGTTATCGAACAACTTTACTATAGAAAATGTTGTTATCGAACAACTTTCCTATAGAAAATGTTGTTATCGGATAACTTTTCTACAGAAAATGTTGTTATCGAACAACTTTTCTATAGAAAATGTTGTTATCGGATAACTTTTCTATAGAAAATGTTGTTATCGGATAACTTTTCTATAGAAAATGTTGTTATCGGACAACTTTTCTATAGAAAATGTTGTGATCGAACAAATTTTCTATAGAAAATGTTGTTATCGGAGAACTTTTCTATAGATAATGATGTTATCGGACAACTTTTCTATAAAAAATGTTTTTATCGGACAACTTTTCTATAGAAAATGTTGTTATCGAACAACTTTTCTATAGAAAATGTTGTTATCGAACAACTTTTCTATAGAAAATGTTATAGAACAAATTTTCTACAGAAAATGTTGTTATCGAACAAATTTTCAATGGAAAATGTTGTTATCGAACAACTTTTCTATAGAAAATGTTGTTATCGAACAACTTTTCTATAGAAAATGTTGTTATCGAACAACTTTTCTATTGAAAATGTTGTTATCGATCAACTTTTCTATTGAAAATGTTGTTATCGAACAACTTTTCTATAGAAAATGTTGTTATCGAACAACTTTTCTCTAGAAAATGTTGTTATCGATCAACTTTTCTATAGAAAATGTTGTTATCGAACAACTTTTCTATAGAAAATGTTGTTATCGAACAACTTTTCTATAGAAAATGTTGTTATCGAACAACTTTTCTATAGAAAATGTTGTTATCGAACAACTTTTCCATAGAAAATATTGTTATCGAACAGCTTTTCTTATGAAAATGTTTGTTATCGAAAAATAGAAAAAATTGTTATCGAACAAAAATGTTGTTATCGAACAAATTTTCTATAGAAAATGTTGTTATCGATCAACCTTTCTATAGAAAATGTTGTTATCGAACAACTTTTCTATAGAAAATGTTGTTATCGAACTACTTTTCTATAGAAAATGTTGTTATCGAACAACTTTTCTATAGAAAATGTCGTTATCGAACAACTTTTCTATAGAAAATGTTGTTATCGAACAACTTTCCTATAGAAAATATTGTTATCGAACAAATTTTCTATAGAAAATATTGTTATCGAACAAATTTTCTATAGAAAATGTTGTTATCGAACAAATTTTCCATTGGAAATTTTTTTATCGAACAACTTTTCTATAAAAATTGTTGTTATCGAACATTCTCAATAGAAAATGTTGCTACGGAACAACTATTCTACAGTTTTGTTTAAATCTCCTCCTTTCTCACCTTTGACATTCAATCCCCATCTGTTGTTTGTTCTTTCAATCTCTGCAATTAACTAAACAACGGACTAACACTGAATCTAAACGTGATTTTTTTCAAACGTCCAACTGTCTGTTATTATTTGACACTCTTTTTTTTTTGTTTCCTCCGATGTCTTTTATCGATATGGTATAGGTTGCATCATCATCGGCCAACAAACAACGACAACAACAAACAGTTTGAAGTTGTTGGCATAGATTTTCATCTATCGGAGGTAACAATAACCTCTTCAAATCGTAACAATATCTGATTGAATGTATGGTTGGAGGGAGGAAGGGAGGGATGGTTGGATATATCGACCACATCTAATGGAATATTAAAACGCACCGAAGCGACGACGATGATGGTAGCTCGGCTGTAGTAGCAGCATGTTTGAAATGATTAGTGATTTGTTGCCATTGTGTGCAGTTGCTGTTGTTGTTGCTGCTGCTGCTGTTGCACCACCTATTGTTTTGTGGCGTTTTGTTAACACATTCCTCATAATAATCCCGTTAAATGGAAATGTAAGTCAAATAGCGAACAAAAATACTCATTGAAATCATTATGAACGATCATGATGATACCGATATGTGTGTGTGTGTGGCAGCCGGAAAATTTGCAATTCAAAAATAACTGCAAACGGTAATCGACGGTGCTCCTCAAACAATTCACAACCTGTGACATGGGTAGATGGAACAGAAAATGGCTTAACTGTGAGATTTCTCGTAGGAAAAATAACTGGGGGTTTGAGAGGAGAAAATGGTATCGATAACAAATTGTCTTAGAGAAAAGCAGTACGATAACGATTTTTTCTTGGGGAACAGGTGTTCGACAACACCATTTTTCGTAAAAAAAGTTGCTCAATAACAACTCTTCTTGTAGAAAAGGCGTTCGATAACATATTTTCTTAAAAAAAATTATTTTGATTACTATTTTTACTATATTTGAAAGAAGATCGATATTATTTTTTTCTTGCAGAAAATGTGTTCGATAATTTTTATCGACTCTCATTTCTTAAGAAAAATTTTTAGGTTGATCTTTTTTTTTTTTAATCGAACAACTTTCTAATAGAAAAATGTGTTATCGATCAATTTTTGGTTAGAAAAAAAAAACAGCTTTTAAATTAAGGGACTTTTTTGACTTATTTAAAAAAAAAAAAAAAAACAAAAAATGATTTTTTATCGGTAATTTTTCAATGAGTATAATGTGTTATCGATTTATTTTTCTGTCAGTAAACTTGTTATCGAACTACTTTTTTCTAAAAAAATGTTGTTATCGTCCAATTTATTCTTAAGAAATTGAGTTGTCAATTAAATTTTTACTAAGAAAAGTTATTATCGTTCCACTCTTTTGTATGAAAACCAGTTATCGATAAACTTTTTTACAATAAAAGATATCGATTATTTGTTTTAACAAAATGTTGTTATCGATCCAATTTTTCTTGGAAAATTGAGCTATCTATAATTTTTTTTTCTTAATTTGACTATTATCGATCTGTTTATATTATCGATAAACAAAATATTTTAATAAAATAGTTATTATCGAACCAAATTTTTGGTAAGAAAAACTGTCATCGATCATTTTTTTTTCTTAAGAAAAGTTGTTATCGATAAACTTTTCTTAAGAAATTGAATTGTCGATAAATTTTATCTTCCTAAAGAATAATACTTATTCGTAAGAAAATCTGTTATCGATCACATTATTTTTATGAACAGTTATTATCGAAGCAAATTTTTGTAAAAATCTGTTATCGACCAACTTTTCCTCAAGAAAAGATGTTAGCGACCCAATATCTCCTCAAGAAAAGTTGTTATCGATCAACTTTTCTTAAGAAATCGAATTATCGATTATAATTTTCTTATAAAAAGCAATCACCGATTTTCAAAAAGTTATTATCGATCACATTATTTTTATAAACAGTTATTATCAAACCAATTTTTCGTTAAAAAAACAGTTATCGTTTAACTTTTTCTTATGAAAAGTCATTATCGACCCAACATTTCCTCTAGAAACGTTGTTATCGATCAACATTTCTTAAGAAATTGAGTTATAGATTGTAATTTTCCTATAAAAATCAATCATTGATTTTAAAAAAGTTATTATCGATCAACTTTTCTTAAAAAATTGAGTTATCGATTGTAATTTTCTTATAAAAAAACAATAATCGATTTTCAAAAAGTTATTATCGATCAACATTATCAAGTAAAATATTTTTATCGGTCACTTTTTTCCTCAAGAAAAGTTGTTATCGATCAACTTTTCTTAAGAAATTGAATTATCGATTGTAATTTTCTCATAAAAAGCAATCATCGATTTTCAAATAGTTATTATCGATCAAAATCTGTTATCGATCACATTATTTTTATAAACAGTTATTATCGAACCAAGTTTTCGTAAAAAAACAGTTATCGATTAACTTTTTCTTAAGAAAAGTCATTATCGACCCAACATTTCCTTTAGAAACGCTGTTATCGATCAACTTTTCTTAAGAAATTGAGCTATCGATTGTAATTTTCCTATAAAAAGCAATCATCGATTTTCAAAAATTATGATCGATCAACATTTTAAAATAAAATATTTTTATCGATCACTTTTCTCTTAAGAAAAATTGTTATCGATCATCTTTCTCTTAAGAAAATTTGTTATCGAGTAATTTTATCTTAAGAAATTTTGTTATCGAACAACATTTTCTTATACAATTTCGTTATCGATAAACTTTTTTTTTCTAAGAACCGTGTTATCGATTTAATATTTTTCGAAAACTTATCAGTTTCTTAAAAGATATTGGTATCGATCTAATTTTTTAAAAAGATCTCTTGTCTATTTTTAAAAATATTATCGATTATTTCTCAACATTTTCTAAAAACGCTGTTATCGATAAACTATTTTTCCAAGAATGTTGTTATCGATCAACTTTTTTCTTATGAAAATACCAATTGTCGTTTTTTTCTTTTTTAAAATGTTTAAAAAATGTTATCGATAATTTTTTTCTAAAGTAAAGCTGTTATCGATTAGCTTTTCATCAAAAAAAGTTATTATCAATAAGTTATTTATTTAAAAAAATTATGGATTTTTCTTTTTCTTA